CACAAATCTCTCTCTCTCTCTCTCTCTTGCCGTCACTCCTAAATCTTCCCCCTCTTCCTAAACAACCAAATGTCATCATTTTTGATTGGTTGATGTGGTGCATTTTTCCACCAGAAAAGCAGCTGTTTTTAAATATATATATATATTTATTTTTTAATTTTTTGCTCATAAGCAGAGAGGTCTCGCTGCGCTGTCCTCAGACAGTAAACGTGACGAAACTATTTAGGAAAAACGCCGTATAAATTGTTTATCATGACTCTGGTTTTACTGGCCCATCAACACAGTTTATAAACTGGCACCTTGTTGCTTTGTCTTCAAGTGGTCATGTGACTGACTGACCACGACTACTTTATTCTTCCTCAGTCAAACAGCAGCACTCATGGCATTGTTTTCCCCCCTTAGCTCCAAGTGTTGTGCCAAAAAGTGTTCGTCTGTCCGCGGGAGCGCAGCTGCTTAAAGCTGTAGCGCCCAGATTACTTACAGCTACTTCCTGCAGCTGATATACGATGCGGTAAACTGAACACAGCTTCAACCATCTGTTTGTTGAAACAATAGTAACGCGACCGCATTTTCTTGTTAGTAACAGTAATGGCATTGTAACCATAGGAATAGTAATTAGTTAGATTACTGGTTACTGAAAAAAGTAACGCCGTTGCTTGTAACGCTGTTATTCCCATCACTGCACATTACATATTTAATGTTGTATGCTTGTGTTTTATTCTGTGTATCACTGTTGGTCCAGTGGCTGAAATATGAGTGCTACACTGCCAAACAGACAGTAATAGGACTGAAATTACAGTGGTAGAAGCAGAGCAGCTTTCTTTTCCAGCTGTAGGCTTAATTTACATGAATGCACAGCTGAACTATGACTGTGTTGTTCTGACACCTGCCCTGTTTCCTCCTGTTACATGTGTCAGTGTAACGGTACGTTATCCCCTGTATGTTTGTCTTAATGACAGAAAAAGCCTTTCCACTGCTTCTGGTGCAGGTGATAAAACATATAGTACATCTCTTCCAAATCCCATCTGTTAGCCATTTGTTACATTTTGGAGAACAAAGTTTCCACATCCTCAGCATCCTGACCAAAATGTTTCCGCAGAACAATTACAAACAGAGACATAAAATCATGCGTCCATAATCTGTCCGTATTTTGCAGCATGTCTCTCATCTAAACTCTGTAACTATGACTCATGATTTGACTTCTAATTCTTGTCTGTATTTTCAAAAGTACAATATTTCTGCCTGTCATATCAAAGCATAATTGACTTTAGTCTTTTCATGATAACATTTATGGTAATATGTGCTCATATTAAAGTCACTCCTCAGCATCCCACAGTCCTATATGGATATTAGATTTAAATTGAAGTGACTAATAAGAAAAGTGAATTTTACCAGTCTTAAACTCTTAACATCCACCATGTAACCAACAGCATTCAGTATTCTGGTTTGCAGTCAAGCCTTCTTTTGTAAGTGTTCGTATCTGATTCATTCCTGATTTGTGAAAATGAAATAAAGTGAGGTGAACCAACAAACAGCACAGAATGTTAAACTAACAAAATAATTAGAAACCCAAAATACAGATGACTCACTTAGTATATAATTGTTCCTTTTGTGGTGAAGTACCCTCTAAGGCAGGGGTGTCGAACTCCAGGCCTCGAGGGCCGGTGTCCTGCAGGTTTTAGATCTCACCCTGGGTCATCACATCTGAATCAGATGATTAGTTCATTCCCAGGCCTCTGGAGAACTTCAAGACATGTTGAGGAGGTGATTTAGCCGTTTAAATCAGCTGTGTTGGATCAAGGACAAATCTAAAACCTGCAGGACACCGGCCCTCGAGGCCTGGAGTTCGACACCTGTGCTCTAATGCAAGGGCAAAGACTCCGATCTGACCCACAGGATGGATCTTGGAAATTGTAAAGGACGCACACACACACACACACACACACACACACACACACACACACACACACACACACACACACACACACACACATTTAGCGAGTTTAGTTTCTAAAGTATATTTTCTGTGATTTCCAAGGCAAAAGACAAAGGCTCAGATTTGCAACAAAACATCTCAATGATTCTCAGAATTGTTAGAAGAAATATTCTGGGACAAACAGGACAAAAGTGGAACTTTTTGGAGGGGTTGAATCATGTTACATCTGCCATGAAGCTAACATTAAACTGAACATGATACTGAAGGTTAGATGTGAAGGGACCTGGATGACTAGCCATAATTTGCCTATGACTTAATGACCTTAAAATCAAGCTCACTTGAGTTATGCAGCAGGACAATGACTGCAATGATGGGAACGACTCATTGCCAGTTATCGCAAATGCTTGATTGCAGTTCTTGCTGGCAAGGGAGGCACAACCAATTACAAGATTTATGAGGCAATTCGTTTATCACATGGAGCCAGCTTTTTTTCTCTTAGTAAATGAAATCATTTATTAAAACGTGTATTTCGTATTTACTCTTATTATCTTTGGCTAATGTTAAAATTTCTGTAATGATACGAAACATGGAAGTGTGAAAAGGAGGCACATATTTTTCCATAGCACTGTATCGAGAGTTTTTCTTTGCTGTCGGCCAATTTAGAATGAGTAATACCTTAGCTTGTGTCTCTGTTTAAGGACAAATCCAGAGCACACGGAAAAATCCCTCATGACACAGACACAACAGTAAGACTGAAACTAAGGATTGTAGGGCAATAACAAGAGAGTTACATGATGGGTCAAATACTTTTAACCCAAATAAATACTTTTCATTTTCATGGCGACTTACATAAATGATGAACTCTCAGTAACACCTGACATTAGTATGATCATACATTATCATTGGCATTTGTTGCAGAAAGAGCCTGATGATTATAGAAAGCAGAACATTGTTTCTGTGCCACTGATGAGCTCTCCTGTTTTGCTTCATGCTTCTGTGCTACCCTTGCTCAAAGAATAGATGACCTGAGATAATGTTAGGAAAATATAATCAGATCGAAGTGACAGCAAACCGTCTCTATAGTGAGGGACAAGTTAAGCTATGTAGCAGCAGCCTAACATGTCATTCACATAATAATGACAACTTTGCTTAACCATGCTCATTGTGAACTGTACCTGGCTGTTTGCAACATGACTGGAACAAATTCACTGAGAAACAGGCACAAGAGATTGGGTCACATTGTTGCATCCTCCAAGGTTGCAGTTTAGCTGAACTCAATTTGAATTGAAATTTTACAAGCCGGCAAATCTGGGGATCATAAGCTGAACAGCTGCTTTAATGCCGAGGATTGTTTTAAACCAAAAATCAGGGGCACATTCACAGATCCATACACAACACACATATGAAATCCAATACACAATATCCTTTCTAATTGAAAAGGAACACTGCCACTAACCATAATATAATAGCAACAGAGATTGGTCAGTGTCAGTGTACGGTTATAATGCTGTCATCCAGCCAGTCTCGTCAGCGTATCCTTGTCATGGTTGCAGGGGGGCTGAAGCCTATCCCAGCTACCACAGGATGAGAGGCAGGGTGCACCCTGGACTAACACATAGAGACAGACAACAATTCACACTCAGAGTCACACCTCCACCAATGTTGTTATTAACTCTGCATTATTAACTAATGCTGATAAAATGCTGTCATTTTATCAATAAAGCAACACGTCTTCATAACAGTCTTGTATTTACCCCAGAGGATAATGGATTACAACCGTGACACACTGCAGAAGTTTTATCTACTTTATTGATCATTATTAGATGTCATTAGAATCAGTAGCATCCACTCCAGAGTTTTTTGAAAAGTAAAACGTCTTGCACGGAACAAAACCTACATTATGCTTTTCCATTTAATTGTTCAAATGACTGTGTGTCGGGCTGAGTCGAGATAGAGGGCTGGTTCCCCCTTTTACTTCAACACAAACCAAATCAGGTCAGGACGCTTAACCGTAGACCAATCAACCTTTACTAATCTAATGTCACTTTTATTTAACATGAATAAACGAGAACTGTCTTTGCTTGAAGAGTGCTTTGAATGAGAGGGATCACCAGGGCTGGCGTGGGCATGATGGGAATGAACCATTTGATCTGCTGAATATTAATGCTCCTTCAAGATTATAAGGATTATTAGTTCTTTTCTCGGCTGGCGATGGAGTTATTTTCAGAACCCATCGATTAAATTACAGCGGGAACTGCCATTGATATGAGCACATCCACATGACGAGGCACTTTGGATTATCAGTGCTGCTCAAACCCACTCCCCAACCATTCTATGGTAATAAAATTGAAAAACACACAAAGGGAATTCAGATGAGAATTTTTAGGCTGCATCTTGATAACTGAGCTTTTCATTAAGGAATCAAATTAACAGCAACATGATCTCAAGCATGCTGGCATAGCAATGCTTATTGATTTGGGAAGTGTCTCTGAACATTAACTAACCTTTGTGTTCTTTCCTTTGTCTCCCCAGGTAGGAAGACCATTCTTGGTCTCTTTCAGTGTATACTCTTGTGTCTTTATGCAGCTGCAGTAAAAATATGTGTGTGTGTGTATGTTCTCTGTTAATTGTCACAGGTTTAGTCCCTACGAGTGGTATAACCCCCACCCTTGCAACCCTGACTCGGATGTAGTGGAAAACAATTTCACCCTGCTTAATAGTTTCTGGTTCGGAGTTGGAGCTCTCATGCAGCAAGGTAGACGCCTCTGCCTCCCCCCTTTTTCTAGCACAAGTCCCACTTTTTTGCTGGGGGTCAACCTTGCTCTTTGACCAGGCCCATGACCATGCATGGGGGCCTCTGTGCATGTAGCTAGATGCTTTACGTGTAGTCCAGCAGGATGGTTTGAGAAGACTTTGAGCAATGTGATTAGCATATGACAGTGGTGCTCCTGCATGCTTTCCTTTTCCCTCCTCACATTCCTGACCTATTAGCAGCCATCACAACAGGTAGGTATCCCCACCCAAAACATGTGAGATGGATCAGATGTATGACTTTCTGTGAGAATGTAAACTTTTCTGTGTTTGTTTTTTTCCTTCTGCCAAATCTTCTCAACTAATCAGCACCCTTAGATTGAGAAAATTAACAGAAATGGAAATAGAAACACTTTATGATAGCACTTTCTATCACAGCTCAGTAATAACATGGTAACAGTAGAGTAACAACGGGGAAACAAGACCGCAATACTGTGGCAATTTCTAAGTTATTACAATTACCTGTGGTAGTTTTTGTGTAACAAGCAGGAAACAGAAACTGCTTGTTTCTATTTAATAGCATATTAATAAGCAGGTAAAAAAAAAACTTTTAAAACAAACTTAAAGTTTAAGTTTTAAAAGAACAACAATGTTAAAACAAGTGTGATGTAATTGGCAGTTCTTTGAGCAACAATTTCACAGATACAGACTGACCTATTGAAACAGTGCACCATTATGTTTATAATCAGAAATAAACCACTACAAAATTTACTGGTGGTAAATAGCCGTATTCTGAGTACACCACACCACCAACCCCCTCACCCTAACCGATGAAAACTGGAGTGTTATACACACACACACACACACACACACACATATACATATGTATATATATATATATATATTTGAAAGTATAACTAACCACACCTAGTTCTCTATCCATATTTGCAATAATAACGGTGAGCTTATTTCATGACGATCTTACTTTTATGCAATCTTAGTTTTTAGAACTACTCTAAGTATTATCTGGTAAGCTAACGTTAGCTACTAACCTGCTGTTAGCTGCTTTGTTCGTGGTGTAAGTTGACAGCATGTGATGAAATAAGTACAACAGACATGGTCCTAAATATAAGTTAAGGAATTAAAAAAGGGTTTTATTTACCTTGCAGTCCGACAGCAGCAGTCTGCCACCTACTGGCAGCCAGCTCTTTGCCGGCTGTTCTATTTATGCTTATTACACACAACCTACCACAGGTGTTTCCAGGTAATACTCACTCACTTTTCAAGTTTGTCTTAATAGGTTATTAATATATTATTGGGATTTGATGTTATATTAGTTATTAATTTATTATTAAATAACAAAGGACAGTTTTGTATTTTGCAGCTCTGTTTCTTTCTTATTTCACAGAAACTACTGCAGGTAACTGAATGTAATAAAATTACCACATTATTACGTTCTTGTTTCTGCATTATTACCCTACTATTATCACTTTATTAGCGAGCTGTAGTTCCACATTATTAACCCCAGATTTGTTATCCAATTACATATATTTAAGCGTAACAGTACTCAGCTGTAACCACTGTTGCAAAAATGATATTACTTGGATATTAAGTGGTTATTACTTCGGTAGTTGCATACTAATAACTTAGAAAATACTACATTGTTACGCTCTTGTTTCCCATTGTTACTCTACTATTACTGCATTATTACTGAGCTGTAATAGAAAGTGCTACCAACTTGGTATAAACTTTTTTTTTTGCGACCAATATCTTATATATTTAATAACACAATAAGAGATATGCTGTATGTCATATCATAAACATTTGCGTGCAAAGCCTTGAAAGCATGGTATATACTGTATGTATGACTTGCAACAAAACACTGGAATGGAGCACACAGGGAAGTAGCTGCAAGATCCCAGATTGTGTTAAAGGATCAGTTTATGCAAATGACAAGAAGGAAAATAAGAAAGCTTGCCTTTAATGGCATCTAGCTGTGCAGGTGGTTCCACGCTGCCACACTGGACTGTATATAAAAGTTAGATGTAGCTACTGCGTCAGAAAAGTGAATCCAGTAGCGGAGTGGCTCAGAGTGCTATACCATTAAGGGTTGGTGCTAACTCACATTTACAAAGTGTTCACTTTCATGAAATACTAAAATCAGTACAATGTTTTTCGCAAGTCATTATGGCTTAAACTATTTCCCATCTCATCAGTGTGCTTTGGTCTTCCTGCAAATTATGTATACATTAGGCCTCAAAGAGAGATAATGTTTTCCAATCAGGTTAAGTAGCAGTTCACGTCTGGCTCCAAAAACACCACAGATGATAGTGGCCAAGTTCGGTTGTTGTACTCACAGAACTAAAAGAATGAAACTTCTGACTATAGTAACAGTAATCAATTTGAACTTTTTCTTGATTATATAACACACACAGTATAGAGAGAGCATTTATCTGCACAACCAACACACTAGGAAGTCGTTATTGTGCTGCAACAGGCTCCATCAGACTTTTTCAAGGCCTTCCCAGTGAAACTTCAGCAGGGTGAACTAAAATAGAGAGAATAATATAAATCACAATACCCATCAAAGTACTTTAGCTCACATGATGAAAACTGAACAGCTCTACCAGGAAAATTACAGTGCATTTTTTTATCCAGCGCCAAATCACAACATCGGTCAGCTCGAGGGGCCAGAAAGTAGTCACAACATTTACTTGTTACACACCTGTTGCAGCTTTATTCCTCTAACTAATCTAAACTAATGGATTACACTTATTTTTCACCTCAGAATTATTTTTTACACCCCTAATCACAAAGTGAAAAAATGGTTGCGTATAACTCTTGTGAAATTATAAAAAGGTGAGAAAACTATTTTACTGAGGCTTGGCAGCTCTGGCATACAGGTGTGATTGTGTAGAGCTGCAGAAATGTTTGTCCTTCTGGAAGGTCCTCATCTTTCCACAGAGCAACGCTGGAGCTCTGTCACAGTGACCATCACATTCTTGGTCACCTTAATCACTCAGATTGTCCAGATGGACAGCTCTAGGAACTTATTCCATTTACAGATAATGGAGGCCACTCTGCTCATTGGGACAGTCATGCTGCAGTAATCGTTCTATACGCTTCCCTAGATCTGTGCCTCTAAGTAACCGTGTCTGAGAGGTCTACAGGCAGTTCCTTGGACTTCATGGCTCACTTTGTGCTCTGACGTACATAGTTGTAGAAACATCCGACAGATGATCACTGGAAACAGAATGCAGCTGAGCCCAATGTTCAGTGTCACGCAAAAGGTGTGAAAAGTTTTATACATGTTACATTTTTGTTTTCAAGAAAACTTTGTTTCACTTTGTCATCAAGGAGTTTTGTGATTAGAATTCTGAGGTGAATAATTAATTTAATCAACTTTGGAAAATTTAACATGAAACTAATATGGATCAGGTGAAGCACTGTGAATACTTTTCAGATGAACTATACAGGTCTCAGAACATGGACAATGCAAAACTCTGCATTACTCAGTCACTCCAGAATGTAATGGCTTGGCATTTATATAGCATATGTTTCTCTTAGCTAGTGGGATGCTCTGACTTACTTATAGACCATGCTTACTAATATCTCCAGATTAGCTTGTAACACAGATCCATAAGTATTCCAGTTACTTTGAATAAGTAAATAAAATTATAGATTTTTTCATATATTTACCCCAACAAAGCAAATGAAAACATCTGATAAGCATTCAGCATACGTTTGTAGCATCTGAAAAAGAGTTCAGTAAATGTCATGCATTGTAGCTTGAATTGTAGTTTAGTGTTCACTAAAAAGTCAGCAGAATAGATGATGGAGAGACATCATGTTGAGAAGATGTGGAGCCAGAAGACTGTGAGACTAGTTTTGACAAACACACAGTAGCTATATAACAGTATGCTGGTCTGCACTGTGGAGAGGCTCCCCTGCCGGGCGGCTTGCCTAACCCCCCAGAAAACTGTGGGACGTGCTGTTTGGTCATGACGTTACCTTGGGTACATGACAGTCAGCCCCAACCAGGCTCTGTTTGGTCTGCGCTCGCCTCTCAGAAGGTCGTCCACTGTTTTCTGTTCTGGTGCAAAAGTATAAAAAGTCCAAACCTGGTAATACCTGCATCTGATTGCTGGTCATGGGTCCCACACAGAACAAACATTGTATTGTTACCAGCACTGATGAATGTGTGTTTGTTCTCATTCATGTTGAGTTGTGGTTTTAAAAATGGACAAAATGGGTGGCTGTTGGCCCTACTGGGCGACTTTATTGCCATGGTTGAATATACCTAATAATATACTGCTTTCAAATCACAAATCACTTTTCATACCATTTTAACCTTTAACTAAAGATTTAATGCCAATATAACAATATTTTAGGAACATTTTACAATTACTGTATTTTCGCAGGAATTACATTTCTTTATTCAGAACATATTTGTTTTATATTTCTTGTATTCCCGCTATTGTCGCTCCTTCTAATAGATAGGGAGGATTTATCACATTATTTATTAACTCCAACTAAAAATGTGTATTAACATATTTCCTGCACGTTACAGACAGTAGTGGTTTTAAATTCTACCAAACCAGTGAGTGCACATGAAAGTGTCCAACTAACACTCTCGTTAAAGATAAAAAAAAAACCTCCTGATAATGTAAAATGGTAAATGGCCTGTATTTGTATAGCGCTTTACTTAGTCCCTATGGACGCCAAAGCGCTTTACATTACATTCAGTCATCCACCCATTCACACACACACATTCCCAAGCTACATTGTAGCCACAGCTGCCCTGGGGCGCACTGACAGAGGCGAGGCTGCCGGACACTGGCGCCACCACCAGTAGGCAACGGGTGAAGCGTCTTGCAGAAAGGACACAACGACCGAGACTGTCAGAGCTGGGGCGCAAACAGGCAACCTTCCGATTACAAGATGAACTGCCAAGTCTTGAGCCACGATCGGATGTGATAATTAAGCATTTAACCAATACAATCCGGTCTCTCTCCTTATGTCCAAATACTTTTTCTAGCTTTGTGTTACATCATACCACTACATATTTTGAGAGAATGTATGTTTCCATGCAATGTCATTAGTTGTGAAGGCACTGGACTATGAAAGAACGTTGGTAGGCATGAACCACCTTGTGCACACTCCATTGCAAAATCCATAAAACCAGGTTTAAGCTGCAGCTGGCTGCCATGTCTTTCACTGCATACTCCCTCCCTACTAGACAGCTCACTCAGGGACTATGAGAAAGAAAGACAGCTTGATGAGAAGTTAGTATTAGGATCAAGGATCTCACAGAGGGAGTGGCACACAGAGTTCTCTCTGACTCTAAGAGCTTTCTCTCTGAGTGAATGCGAAAAATCCCAGATTTGCTTAATTAAGCCATTTAAATAAAATAGTCCTGCTATAACTCAGACCCACCTTCCTCATATGGGCAACAAACCTCACTCACTCCCACTCTACCCCCACGTATACATTCATCCTCTGCATACATTCTGGATAATACTTAATGAAAAAAAGACCCTAGCATTACTTTAAGTGTCTTGATGCATGTTCAATCATCCAGGAAAGTAATTCTCCAAAAGTTGATTCTGTTCATCTGGACGTAGTGTTTTGTGGGAGAAACGTTTTGTCTCTCATCCAGGTGACGTCTTCAGTCTCAGCTGACTGCAATTTTCCCCAATATTATAAACAGTACATTTACATAATGACTGAAACCAGCCCACTGAAGGAACAATGGGCTGGGAGGTCAGTTCCTTAATCTTAATTATGCAAATTCTCATGAACATTGATCAACAGCCACTGATCATTGACCACTGATCAATGGCCATGAGTACCATTCACAGAGAGTTGGGGAATGGCTGCAATCACAGCATTGTAAGATGGCCAGTGTGAGGGCGGAGTCAAGGAGGCCATTTACGTGAAAAGGGAAAGACCATCTCTGAATGGAGGAGGGGCCTAAGGGTACATCTGTCACCATCTTACATTGACTCCGCCCTCAAACCGGCCATCTTACAATGCTGTGTTTGCAGCCATTCCCCAACTCTCTGTGAATGGTACTCATGGCCATTGATCAGTGGTCAATGATCAGTGGCTGTTGATCAATGTTCATGAAAATTTGCATAATTAAGATTAAGGAACTGACCTCCCAGCCCATTGTTCCTTCAGTGGGCTGGTTTCAGTCATTATGCAAATGTATTGTTTATAAGATTGAGACCTGCAGTCAGATGAGACTGAAGACGTCACCTGGATCAGTGACGAAACGTTTCTCCCAGAAAGCGCTACATCCAGATGAACAGAATCAACTTTTGGAGAATTACTTTAAGTGGTGTATAAAGTGTGTTATAGTGTCAGAAGTGCAGAAGTGGCTTAGGAGAAGAAGAAGAAAGAAAATAAACCAGAAACGTACTAGGGTCGAGTCAGTGCAAACTTTACAGCAGATAAGCTGAGCATCAGCTATACTTTGTAGAAATGGCCACAATCAGTGGAATCACAATAAATCTACTGAGATTTTTACTCAGTTCAGTTTTATATATATTGCACCAAATCACAACAGCAGTTCCCTGAAGGCATAGTTTTTATGCAGAGTTTATCTTTTGGAAAAGCTGACATGTAATTTCACTTTGGTAATTAGTTGCAAATCTGAAAGGTCGATGAATTAAGAGAGCATTCAGTGTCTGTAAATCTCTGTTACATGCACACTCTGAAATCAAAATACCTTTTTGGACCTTTTTTACCTTTATTCGTTTACGGTACTGCCATTGCACTCTTCACAGGGCACAAGTCTTTGTACCTTATCAAGAACCTTCTTGAACCTTTTGTTAGAATATTGCACCACAGTGTTGCATCTATCCATTTTGTAGCACTGTGCATGTAATGGGAGCAGCAGCCATTTTTATGTTCACTGCACAGCCCTTTTACACGGCAGCGTGAGCCAAAAATGACGTTGCATTTGCTACCGTTTTCCACCTTTTTGTTGTCACTTCATGCACGTTGTATTTTTGTAACCTTTGTGTGTTGTGCCACTGTCACTGCAGCCAGGTCAAAAAGACAGGTGTACAATTGTATGCATGTATTTTTTTAATGACATATCAGTACAGAAGTTCAGAGATTTACAGATTATACAGAGGGAGATCCCCAAAAGCTGATTCTGTTCATCTGGATGTAGCGTTTTCAGTGAGATGAAACGTTTCTCCCGATGACAACACTACGTCCAGATGACCAGAATCAACTTCTGTGGATTTACTTACCTGGATGATTGAGCATGCATCAAGACGATACAGAGGGAGATGTTGCAACCATGTGATAACATGAGACTTATCGTATCGTATGAATCCATCGTTGGCCTATCATCACCTTTCACTCGGGAAATGCTGCTTCTCCCTTTCTCCAGCCACCACCTTCAGGTCTTCTATGAGTTAACAGTGTTATCCTCTGCAACTCCGTCAGTATATAAGACAGAATGTATTCAGAATGTTTTTAAATAGCTTAAAAAAATAAGGAATCAGTAAATTGTTGACATTTAAGAGCCAAAATAACATTTTATTATTCATTATTTGTACTGTTTTGGAACATTTGGAATATTCACCTCTTTGACACATCTTGTGGTCCAATCCAATTTTATGAAATCCTGTTATAGCAATGCTCTGTCAGAGATGGGTAGCATGAGTAAAGACTTTTGGTTTGTCTAAGGCATTAATTACTACTACTACTGCAATTAAGAATTTATTAATTTGATTGTTTTAACTAGGTTAGTTCCAAAGTTAAAGAGAACACATAAGGGAAATATTCAACCATGTGGCTGCCCACTCTGTCCAATCTTTGTGTTTGTGTCTGAGTGTGTGATCCAGGCAGCAGATGCAGAGACCTGGCCCAGTCTGGGTGTTGCCCACTCACAAACCTAATCTTGTATTCAGCCTCACCTGCTCCTCTGCTCCTTCCATTCAGGATCTGAGCTCATGCCGAAAGCCCTCTCCACCAGAATTGTAGGAGGAATCTGGTGGTTTTTCACACTCATCATTATCTCCTCCTACACGGCAAACTTAGCAGCCTTCCTAACTGTGGAGAGGATGGAGTCGCCTATCGACTCTGCTGATGATCTGGCCAAGCAGACAAAGATAGAATATGGAGTTGTAGAAGACGGCGCATCCATGACCTTCTTCAAGGTTAGTTACACTTTCACATTATCAATCCAGAGTTTTCTCATGAAAGATTACATATGGGGAAAATGTTGTGTTGGCAGTAGTACAAACACATCTGACGTTTTGCTGGGGTCCTAAACGTAATTATACAGGAAGTAAAGAAATAACGTACGTTTACATGGACTGATTCTCATATAGCACTTTTCTGGATTTCTACGCTTTTCTTCTCCCAGAGCACTCAAAGCACTGTTTACAACATGCCTAATTCACCCATAAATACAAACTTTATCTCTGTGTAAAAGTGCTTTGTATCTAACATTCACACACTCGTACTCCAGTGGATGCATTGGAGAGCAACTTGGAGCTATTATC